AATAATTCAATTATTTTCTCGGTGTATCTCCTACATCTACGCCACTGATTAATTATCTAATTGTAAGTAAATTCTTATAAAAAAAAATGTAGCTTAATGGCCTTATATAACCAAAAAATAAACAAAAATTTTCTGTTTCTGAGCTATTCCCGAATTCATTTCAATGCTTTTTGGTCTGTAGTAAAAAAACGCCTTATTATGTGATATTCTACCAACGTAATGTATGACATCTCGCTATGCCCTATATTTAAACTAAAACAACTCTAAAACTAAAAAGAAAACAATTTACATTATTTTACTTACGTAAATAATAATTTTGGATTTAAAAGTTAACATATTTTTGAATAAATATGTAAACTAATTTGATTTCTTAAGAATTTTAATTTTAATGAATGTACTAATATGTCTCGTATTAATTAAAAAAAATTGTTGACTTAGAAACTATTTATTTTACTTGTTTATTATTCAAAGTATACCTAGATTTCATTTTTGATTTGTTTAGTTTCCATTAAATTTTATTATATCTTTAGATTAAATTTCAGTTTTTTATTTTTAAGCTTTTACTTTTTTTTTAATTTAAGGAAATAAAGTGATCGTTCGTCAAAATCTTATAAAATATTATTTACGCACATCCATTTAAAAATGTTTAAATTTAAGCACCTGAAGTACATAGTAATTTATTCCTTTTTGGAAACATGACAATCATGCACATGCGTATTTCGGGCGTTTTGTGGAAATAAAAGATAAATCAAAAGTTAAAAGACTTAAATAAATATATACACTTGTGTACTTTCTAAATTTAAAGCAAAATCTTAAAGACAAATATCAGTTTGCTGACCTTAACTTCAATGTTTTAAAAATTGCAAAATAATTATTTACATCATTTAAAACCGCACAAACCATAATGACCGCCAGTGCCCCTTTTAGGTAGATACATTAGTATTCTGTGGATTCGCATATCGTTGCGTTTCACTGTATTATACTGGTAGCATCTAGCCTTCACTAACTCATTTGTTGTCAGACAAAGTGTGACATAAATTTACTAGTAGCGAAAACATTTATGATGAATTCTCATGGTTTTTATTCATAACTATGACGAAACGTGTTTTTAATAGAACGCGTTTTTTATCAAATTTATGCTGTACTCGCGAACTAAAGCAATTTACTTCACTCATTTTTTATTTAACGCCAATTATGAACTTGCTTTACCATGCTTTTTCACGACACAATACACAGAGTGTAACTAAAATGCTTGACTAAACGTTTATGGCGGATTCTACGTTACAAATAAAAGATGAAAGTTTTTATAAATAAGTACATATGTATATTTCTCGTTTTCGAGATATGGGGTGTTCAAAATAGTGAACAATATCCAGAAGTTTATTCAACATCTTTTTTATTTTTTCATCTTGTAGAATTATAAGCTCTTGATGTTGAAAAATCGTCTTTTTTGTCCTAATACTTTTGTTTCACGTTAAATTTAAATATTTTTTAACAAAAGGTACAGCTTCTCTTCAAGATATTCTGTATCAGTTCAGTTGTGGCATTTTCAGTTACTCTTTTTATTTGATTGAGTGTTTATATCGTAATTAAAATGAAAGATTTTGAATAAGTAACCCATAAATTTATAAAATTTATCTGATTCATGTTGATTTGACGCAAGTGGTTATTTATTAAAATGTTAAAATTTCCGTATGACAGAAACATCCCAACAAATAATGAGTTATATACCTAAAACATTTTTACTAATGTATTCAATTTACAGATAGCTAGGGGCGGAGTATAAAGTCGCATTTGATATATGTAAATAACCAGTTGTTCTTTTCCGGTACATATTAAGATAATATATAAATAGGAGGTATCTTCATTGCCAGTCGCGTTTATCTCGAAAACAATTTATTTTATATTACCTTTTCCACTTAAAACAAAATATTAAAATTTAACACGACAAACATTAAAAAAACTAGTCTATACATTTTTTGGGGCCGAAGACCCAAAGTAGATTGAATGTATTAGCAGATCCAAATTTAATGACAAAGAAAGTATCTAAAAATCGAGTTGCAACTTTCAATTTCTAGAGCGAATGCTGTACAGTGAGCCTGGAAAAAAATTATATAAACTTGCGAAGTTGTATTTGCAAGATCTAGCCAAATCCGAAAGATTGCCTAGCATTTCTTAGACCTCCTGTACAGTAGGTACAAGAATATGAGAACAGAAATTTTAAATAGTTGGTTCACACCTCAGAGTATTATTAGTCTGAAGTTCACACTAGTAAAAAAAATCGACAAAAAATGTATTAATTCTCTGATAATAACAGCTTGCGAACTCATCGTCGAATATTATTGTATCAGCTTCAATATTTACAAGTTTTGTAAAAATGGGCATCAATGCTTTTGTTGCATTACTCCTGATGTTTTTTTAATGTTGCCAAAATATCTTACTTTCGGTTTTTTAGTTTATCTTCGGCAACTCCTAGACATTTTCAGGAGGTATGGTGATATGGAGGATTTTTCGTTAATGCTATATATTTGATTACCAGCTAAAAACTTTCTTACGCAAGCAATTTCATGTGTGATCAACTGCTATTCATTAATAAGTAAACCAAGACCTCTGAGTTGTTAGCAAAAAGTCAGATCCTTATCGTCTAGCTATTTCAAGTATAATTTTGTTTACAATAAGCTACGTAATTCTGAATTACGTTGGATGAATCAATAAAACCGTACCATGCCTCAATATACCTAATGCATATTAATGAGTGCTGGCGCTCAAATTCAAAGAAAATACAATTAAAAGGGTTAATAACAGATATACATCTTATAACTAGTTCATTTTATCTCAACAGCACTATTATTTTAGCATTTTTTCAAATTTCTAGCATATTTGATGTGTAGCAAAAAAAACATAAGTACATATTTCTTATAGCTGTTTTACATTGACAATTTATTGATGAATTAATTCATGAAGTCGCTTCATCAAGAAATTGGACAAGTGTAATGCATTAAATCTGCTGTCAAATAACTTGATGAATTTATTCATCAAGTTCTTGACGAATTAGAACTTGTTCTAATTTTCGTCAATTTCTTCGTGAATTACCAACCCAATAGATTTCCAGCCTCAGATCAGTAATGGGGTTATGTTATTGGAATATGTAAATAATTGTGTGGCGTCGTACTAGTTTTGCATTGTTTTTACTGATTTGTTACTTACAAAAACTAATATTTATATAATATGTGTCAGAACGGTATAGCGCTGTTGTATCACTACAATTATGAGTGGAAAGGTGACATTTTTGAAATTTATTTGCTTCTTTGATTCATTGGTAGAACTGATTCATACGTCAAAAAACTTGACAAAGTCTGTAGCAGTGTAAAACCACACTGTTTACCAATAAATTCGTGAATTAATTCATGACGAACTTCGTGAATTTATTCATCAATAAATTGTCAATGTAAAACAGCTATTAGGGTATTAATTATTACCTACGACTAACTTAAAATTAAATTTAATTAACTCAAAAAATAAAATTTTAAATTTATTGCTCTTTAATCAAATGTTTATTCCTCTTTATTCGCCTTTTTGAAATCTAACTTAAAACAAAGTTTTTGTTAGAAAGTTAGTGTCCTCATTAAAAATTTTTATTTGATTTTTTTAAAATAACTTAATACTTTGAACTAATTTTATTGAATTTCATTTTATTTTAGAATACACTACTCTTGCAAATCCAATTACATTTTCGGATAAACTGAAGTTACAGTATGTCAATATAAATACAGAAGTAAACATTTACTGGAGCGAAAACCAAACAATAGATGACTAGATAAAAATAGTGTACAACCTGCTAATTGTTCATGCTTGGATGATCATTTGATGAGTCAAGCACGATTAAAAATTGCGTTTGTCGAATATAATTACGTCTGTTTTCTGTTCTTCTATTATTATTATTATTTTAGAATAAATACATTTTAAAAATAATTGCTAACAACAATTTATACATATAAAAACGAGGAACGTTGGACGTTATAAATTATTATTATTATTAAATAAGTATATGATATACAGGGTGATTTAACTAAATCTACCCAGGCTGATTACTTTGCAACAAAAGAAATATATACGTTCTGCAAGTTCGAAAACGTGTATATCGGAGAAGATGGAAGAAAATCAGAGAAAACGACGATATTTCTACATTGTTACGTTTCAAAGATCTTGCAACGAAAAAATTTTGATTGGACAGTTAATTTAAAATAAAATTATATCACGTATATGATCGCTAAATCATTTAAATTTATTGTTGTAAAAAGGTACTGTTATTGAAAATTAGTTTTCAGTATAATAGTCGATATTATATAAACGTTTATGGAAATATTTCCTCAAACGTCTATAACTATTTATATCTAAAATAACGCTTATGTTCAACAATTTGAATAAAATTTGCTTATATTAATATGTTAAATATACTAACAAAATTGCAAATGGCTTGCTAACGTCAATAAATAGATATTATACGGTATGTCCTAGTCCTGATCTTCCAAACGAAAGAAGTGTGAGAATTTGATTTTAAGTATTAAAATTAATACGATTGTGAAGTTTAGTCCAGGAAAATGATGTTTTCCAGTTTCACAATTGATTTAGCTCTTTAAAAGAACCGGACAAAAGTCAGTATAAACATAAAATTTTACTTCTTCAAATACAATCAAAGAATCAAGTTTTAGAACAGCTAATTGATTTTATTTTTTGCATAAAATCTAGTAACAGACTTGCTTAAAAGCATTTGTTCATACTGAATTGGATGAGTAACCCAGATATTCCAGGATTAAATAATAGAGATAGATGTTTTTCATTGAACTTTATATACCTTTATAGTCTGGGACACCCGGTATAGATAAATAAGTCGTTACAATTAATATGAAAATAAAAAAATGCATTATAAAAGGAAATTAATCTTAAACACTTCATTTCAATTAAATATAGTTTAGACTAATCGTTTCTATCTTTTTAAGGGTCCCTCTGGCTACGAAATCTACCAAAGAAGCACGCGACAGGCATAGTTATATTCTTCTGTACACTGATAGTGATAATAATAATTGTTGTTGCTCTTATATACCTGAGACAACCGCTACCTCTGGTGAGTGACGGCTATAATCGTGATACCGACGAACAAGATAATAACACGCCTCAAGATTATTTATCAGGTGAGTATCGTTATTTGGTTGAAGAATGGGCTATTTTTAGAAATAAATATGTAAACATTTATTTATAAACTATATAGTGTCTTAATATTCCGGGTACGCAAATTCATGAAGTCAAAATGAAGCAATTTATAGTCCGTACGATATTTGTTGAGATAAAATTCCAAGAAGATCTCTGGAATTAACCGAATTCAACACCCGAGGTAGAAAGACATTGGCGGAAAATTTCAAGACACGCCCCTTCCGCAGTACATTGTTACAGTAGCAATGAAAACAGAACTCTATTGGCTTATTGTTTTCTTGAAAATCTATCTCAACAAATATCGTACGGACACAGAGTTGCTTTGTTTATCCGCTAGAGGACGTCGAAGTTGGTAAAATATTTAGCTCTTTCCAAATAAATAAGTTATATTTATTAAAATGGAACATGACTTTGGATTTAAATGTTCATTATTATAATCCTGCAAATTAGCAATCATGAAATAATGTCCATAGAAAGGGAGCGTGTATTTATTATAAAAATAATTTATGGTTCAATATCAGAATAGAATATTTAATTTTTTGTTGGTTTTTGCTTACTGCAAATTGTTCATTAATAATGTCTAGGGATGATAGTGATAGCAGAAAATCCATTGGACGAAATCATAAAAAAATATATGCCACTGGAACACATCTACATTGTCTATTTGTACGTTATTTTCAGTTTAATCAGGACTTAAAAAAATATGTAAATTAATCTTATTGTTCCATGGGAATTAATGGTAACTACATTTCTAAGAACTTCCTTATTCAAGATATCCCATAAAATGATTCAGTACTATTTTATGATAATTTTCAAGTACGTATTTGATATTTCCAAATTTTACAAAAGTCCTTACCCGAACATTTATGAGAAATAAAAATCAATAGATGTTTCGATTTCACACCTAATCTCTTAATAGTACTAAGATCGACTATGTCAAAATTCGACTTATATGTTGGAACTTTTATTGTTATTACAATTAGTTAATAATAACCAAAAAATATTTCTCACGTTAAACATATTAACCTAACTTTTAATTATATTTTTTTTACTATTAGCTTCTGAGCATTTACTTTACTCATGTTTCTTCAAAAATTAAGGAAATTTAAATTAATCCTAAATTCTCATCAAACGAAATCATTGTTTTGTTTCTTTGAAACAAAAAGACATGCTAACGAAATGACTAATAAGTTATTAATATTAATAGATAATTATATATAAAAATAATAAGTAACCTTAAATAGTACTAATGAGTAAACAACAACATTGAAATAATTAAATGTTTTAAAATTTAAAGAAAATACCTTATATTCTTGTTTGTAACAGCTACATCACTTTGAACAAATATCAATACTGAAGTAGCTCACAACTGTTATACTATTTAATACTCAATATTAGACTGTTCATTAAAAATTGTACAAATAGTAGCTTGCCATAGGTATGCTCTACCAATAATAACTATATTTTCAATAAAATATGAATTCTTTTGTAGTTTATCTGATAAAAACACATTGCTAAAATGTTTTCTAGTATCTTAATTTATGGAACAAATATATGTTTTGATTTGCGATTTAACTCCATAAAAGGAAATGAAATCATTCTCGTCAAAACATTCTGCTGGTATTCAAATGTACAAAAATGTAGTTTTAAATTGGAAAGAATAAATGATCAGTTGATTTTATCCTTAGAATTCAATACACTGTCAGTTAAGGATTGCGAAATAACACAGACAAAATTTTATACCAGAAACCAGATGATTTTTGATACGCCAAAATTGCTGCATCACTACAGGTTTTCGAGATATTATGCGCGAAAAATACGATTCTTCGCTATATTTGAGATTATGTTATGTTACATCACTAGTTAATTATCCCCCAGAAAACTTGTTATGGTATATAAAAGTACTACCTACTTTTCCCCCTATCTATTTTGAATCGTTCGAATATTTCCTTTCCTTTCCGAGAAATCGTGCGTCGTAATTGATTACTAGTCAATATTCCAGTGAAGGCTCAAAAAGACGAATATTTAAATTACTCACACCTAAATGCCCATTAGTTCTTCAGATTTTTGGGGTCGCTGATTACGAACCTAAAGTCAGAACTACAGAATTTAAAACGGCGAATAAATATGATGGATGGAATAAAAAAAATTTTGAAATTTAGAAATGGAAAACCTTCAATTAATGCAATGTTTTTGATAAAAAAATCATTCATACAAATTTTCAAATTACGATCATTCTGATAATCCGAATTATATGATCAAAATTGGAATATATAACCCCATAGCCTTGACTATCGAAACTCCATAGCCCTGACTATGGGCAGAAAATGAGATATTCGAACGTTTCAAAACGGATTTTGAAGAAAAAATCGTAGTACTTTCAGATTCCACAACGATTTCTATGGAGAAAAATTACCTAGTTATGTAACATAACCTCAATATAGTGAAAATCCGTGTATTCGCACTTTTAGGTTAGGATATCGCTAAAACCTGATGTGATGAAGCAATTCTGAGATAAGATTCAGAGTTAGCGCGATGAAAAGCTTAAAAAAAGTATCGTTTTTCTGATTTAGAAGATCAATCACATTTTGTCGGCCTGTGAAACAATTCTTTTTCAACATTTAATATGTCTCTAGACGATTTTAACTGTAGGTGTCAATATCAAATATACTTTTAAGTCGAAGTTAAAAAAAATTATGAATGAATTAATTTGTTAAGATACTTTTACAATTATACATTATAATGCACCAACTATTATTTAGACTGAGATTTTGTTTATTTTAAATTTTAATATATGCTATTGTACAAAATATTTATTTAAATATGAGGCTTATTTTAGATTATTTACCCAGACATGTATCGTTTAGGGAGACACCATTTGTTTGTCTTGGAGCCCCCTAACTTCTTTCTCCGCCACTGGATACACACCCAAATAAACATTTGTTTCACACTTGTGATAATAAAACTCATGGTATGGCATCATTCTATATAATATAAAATTCACTTCTTTATATAGGCACCACAAAGCACTTAATTATTAAATAATTAGGAGCAATATCCAAAGCGTAGAAAAAAGTGTAAAGATGGAGAAAATAAACTTAATATCTATCTGTCATTTGGTATATACGAAAAGCAGATACCATCCCTATATACCTTATTACACCCGAAGGCCATTGTGAGGAATATTTATATTTTCCTTTATTTACGTTTTTTTTACTAATAGTTATTAACTAAAGTAGTATATAATTTAATGCATACTGATATGATTTCAAAACAGTTTGGTATATTGTGCCAACATTTTTTTTTGAAAAATCATGCGTTATTTCAATATATATTATAACATTTACATTCCATTAAAATTATGAAATGTGTTCTCACAATAAAGTTAGCGAATCCTTTGTGGTGAAATATTCTACCCAATATGACTGATATAACTTCATATTGTAATAACTTGGAGGAAATAAGTGTTTACTTACTCACTTACTTACTTACTTACTTACTTACTTACTTACTTACTTACTTACTTACTTACTTACTTACTTACTTACTTACTTACTTACTTACTTACTTACTTACTTACTTACTTACTTACTTACTTACTTACTTACTTACTTACTTACTTACTTACTTACTGTGGTCACTTTCAGAGAACTACTTTGGGAAATTGTGTACCGATATGGGCATTTAAGTTGCAACCAATGTAAAACAATCGTAGGAACAGCCACTTCTGATATTCTATTACTTCTGATATCACCAACGTCATTAAAATGCATTTTTGTGGTATTTGTTTTGTTGCACAGCAGAAAAAAGTTTTCTCATTGAGAAACGTTCCAGGTGTTTTTCGTTTCATTTTGCCGCACAACCTTTTCGGTGCGTTCAAATGCCAAACCTAAAAAATTTAAAGTACCAAAAAAGGATATTTGATAATGCCAGAAAAGGTCCGGTGTTTTTGCTAATAACTCATGGATCTTCCATTACAATGCTGAAGTTGGTCACATAACACTACTTTTAAAGATGTTCTTATATTATAATAAACAAATAACTGTAGTGAGACCTTACATAGAAGATATCAATGACAGTACAACAAAAACTTTGAAGACAGACTATTGTACCTGCTTCTATGTAGCTACCTAAGGGTACTACTTTTAAGGTGGTTATAATATTGGGCAATGACTTTTGTAATACTTTTACCGCGGTGAGTTCACGAACTTTATTGTCAGAGATCATTTAAAAAAATATTCACTAAAACAAATATGTCACGATTATGCAATAAATGTGGGTTTGAACCCAGAGTAGTAGGAGATGAATTTAAATTTATAATTTATGTGTTATATTTTACTCTTTAACTGCTTACGAAAATTAAAGATCTAAAACCACATGATTTAATTAGTAGTACTTCAAAAATTTGTGGTATCTTACGAATTACCTACAAATTCCACATTTGGAGAAAAATTGAAGTGGCCCTCAGGCCCTCCCTTGACTACGGCTACCGTTGATTTATCAATGCGATATCGCTGTTTGTTCAAAGTAGGCATTTCCTCTAGCGTGAACAACGTAGACGGTCGATCAAGGATGAGGGAATAATTGCATTGTCTGAAAATGATATACAAGTGGCGACAATCAACTTATCAAGTCAATTCATTCTTATTTTTTCGCATAACTGATGCATTGACCTAAAAGACTGTGAACTGTGAATATGGTATCTGGCATGTTTTTTATTTATGTATTGTTTTTATTATTATTCATTGTAAGTTATATTCTTGATTACAATTATGTTGTGACAGGAGAAAGGTACAGGATACGTATACGGCTCCATATTATAGTCTCCTGTATATCAGAGGTAAACTGTGCAAAGCTGATGGCTCGGTTTCGGCGAGGATGGGCATTTTGCTGCTGTTCGACGAAATCCGATACGAGTTGAATGGTATACCTGTGGATAGATCGCGAAACCCTGTCCTCACGACTATCATGAAGAACTACG